TTAAATACTCTGAAGAGGTCTTAGTCCTCAGAGTAATGTCCTTGCTTTTAAATACTCTGAAGAAGATTTATCCAATGCAATAGATCTTTTAATCTCTTGACTGCTGCTTCTATAAGCATTGATTGTGTATCCAAGCAAGATGAAATTCTTGACAACTTCAATCTTTTCTCCACTTATCTGGATGTTCCCTACTGGTCCGGTTTTGAAGATTTTATTCTTATGTGCATTGAGTTGCAATCCATAATGAGGGCTACAATCCTTGACATTCCTCACCAAATACTCTTCCTCTTCACTTTTCATCAAGCAAGGTTATTTCATTTGCACATCTCAGATTCTTAATAAGCCTTCCTCCAATCCTAATGCTGCTCTCTTCATATAATCTAGCTTCTTTGATTATTTTTTCAGTATACAGATTGAATAGTATGGTGAGAGAATACAATCCTGAATCACACCCTTTTTGATTTGAAGAAACCATGCAGAATTCCCTCATTCTGTTTGCACAACTGCCTCTTGAACTATGTACATATTCTGCATGAGTATAATTAAATGCTTAGAATTCCCATTCTTTTCAAGCCTGCCCATAACCTATTATGGCCCATATAGTCAAATGCCTTTGCATAATCAATAAAATGACTTTCTGGTATTCTCTGCTTTCAGCCAAGATCCATCTAACATCAGCTGTGATACCCCATGTTGCACGTTCCTCTTCTGAATCTGGCCTGAACTACAGGTAGCTCCCTGTCAATGTACTACTGCAACCATTGTTGGATGATCTTCAGCAAAATTTACTTGTGTGTGATATTAATAATATTATCTATAATTTGCACATTCTATTAGGTCATCTTTCATTGGAATAGGTTCAAACATGAATCTTCTCCAGTCAGTTGACCAGGTAGTAGTCATCAAAATTTGGGGGTATAGAAGAGAGAGTACTTTCAATTGTTTCATCAACTTGTTGAAACATTCTATTGATATTTGATTAATTCATGGAGCCTTGTGTTTTGCTAATGCCTTCAGTTCAGTGTGGACTTTTTTTCTTTAGTACCATTGACTCTTGATCATATGCTACCCTTTGAAATTGTTAAAAGTTGACTAGTCCTTTTGGGGTACAGCATCTCTGTATATTTCTATGGGTTCTAAAATCTATTGCAATGGCTACACAGAACTCAAAGAAAAAATTCACAATTAATGGGTTTATTAAGGAAATTGACAAGCTATAATGCCAGTGAGAAATGTTCATGATAGTTGTTTATCAAGACATGTTACAAAGTTCTTTCATGTCTGCAAATAAATGCTTAAAGGGTCATAACACTTTGCTGTAAGCCTCACCCCAAAGACATTAAGCTCAAGCTCTGTGGGTCAGTAAGTTCAGCTTCCCCAGTTAAGAGTCCAGATGCAACCCATTCCTCAAACCAGTCTTCTGAACAAAAGCACTCAGCTTTACTTGCTTTGTGGGTTGGGAAATCTACCCCTATGTTTCATGTTCTGGTTCCTGATTTCGCTGCAACACTTCTACTGTTATACTTGTCTTCTAGATCCAGGAGGTTTATGGCTCAGTGATCTCAGGGCCAGAGAATGTGCTCCACTCCTAGCTCCTGCTGGTAATGAGATCCTCCCCATTCCCACTACCTGTTTCTCAGAAGGCTCATTTTACACACACCAGGATGACATTCCATAGAATCCTGTTCACAATTACTCACAGGTGAATCCTATTAGTATGTTCATCCACCTTCTTACCAGACCCTTGCAGGAAAAGACCTTTCGGTAGGAAAGACATTTTCTGGAAGAGCCACATTAAATAATTCACTGACCCTGCATCTGCTTGCATCATTCAACATTTTCCCCATACAATCTTTTAATATTGCAAGTCGAGGCTTAAATATTTTTCTTCAGTTCTTCTAGTTTAATGTAGGATGTGTTCTTTCAGGTTTTCTACATGTCTTTGCACATTTAATGATAAAATTTCACTTTCTCTTTTTGAGCTGCCCTTTGAAATTTTCTGTTCAGTTCTTTCACTTCATTTCTTCCATGTGAGTTAGGTACTGTATGATTAAGAGCAAGTTTCAGGGTCTTTTCTGACATCTACTTTGATAACTTTTTTCCCCCTTGTCTTTTTAATGACCTTTTGCTTTCATCATGTGCAATATTCTTGATGTCATCCCACAGTTCATCAGGTCTTCTGTCATTAATGTCCTAGATGTTAGATCTACTCTTGAGATGTCCCCGAAATTCAGGTGGGGTATGCTCAGGGTTACCTATTGGCTCTTGTGGACTTGTTTTAAATTTCTTCAACTTCAACCTGAACTATGAGCAATTGATTGTTTGTTCCAGAAACAAATTTTTGGCCCTTGGCCTTAGTTTAGTTGCCGATATTGAGCTTCTCCACAGTCTCAACCCACAGATATTGTCAATTTTATTCCTGCTTATTCTATCTGAAGAAGTCCACATGTTGTTGAAAAAAGGTATTGATGATGAAGTCATCAGTCTTGCAAAATCCTACTATGTGACCTCCAGCTTTTTTCCCATCACAAGGCCATATTTGCCAACTACTGTTCCTTTTTCTTTGTTTACAACCTTTGTGTTTCTATCACAGCCAGTATTGTACTTCAAGATAGATGTTAAAATATCCCTTTTGATGATGAACTCAACATCTTTCTTCTTGAATCTGTTATTCCTAGCATAGTAAACCATATGAATGCCTGACTCAAAATAAACAATACTAGTTGATTTCAGCTCACTAATGCCTAGGATATAGATCTTTGTTCATTTCATTTTTGACAATTTCCAATTTTCCTTGATTCAATATTTTACTCCATCCACAACATTATGGTCAACTTTGTTTGGAGCATGCAGCTCTTCCTTAGTCATATTTTGAGTGTTTTTTGACCTGAGGAGCTCATTTTCTGGTATTCTCTCTGACAATGTTCCAATGCTACCCATTAAGTTTTCAATATCTGATAATTTTTTGCTGCTTTCCATAAGGATTTTAGGGGCTAATTCCTCAGAAGTGGAAAATTGATTCCTTCTTTGTAGTCAGTTCTTAGTCTGGAAGCTTTGCTGCAATTTGTTTACTTTGAGTACCCTGATGGTATTTGAAATGTATGATTGTTATTGTTAGCTGCCTTCTAGTCAGTTCCAACTCCCAGTGACCCTATTTACAACAGGATGAAAGCCCAACTCGTTCTGCACCATCATCACAATTGTTCTTATGCTTGACACCTTTGTTGCAGCCACTGTGTCAATCCACCTTGTCAAGGGCCTTCCTCTTTTTCACCCCCACCCCCACCCCTTTACCAAGCATGAAGTCTTTCTCCAGGGACCGATCTCTCCTGACAGCAAGTGCAAATTACATGAAATGAAGTCTAACCAGTCTTGCCTATAAGGAGCATTCATTCTGGCTGCACTTCTTTGAAGTTAGATTTGTTAGATATTGGATGTGGGGGGGGGTGTCAGTAAGTAATCCATTATGCTTGGTATTTTCAATATGCATGGCCAACACTCTAGTTAAAACGCATTCTTTTTCTTCAGTTTTCCTAATGTCCAACTTTCACATGCATTTGAGGCAATTAATGATACCATGGCTTGGTTTGGGCGTAGCTTCATCTTCAAAGTAACACCCTTGCTTTGCAACATTTTAAAGAGTCTTGTACAACTGATTTACCTAGTGTAATGATATGGCTTCCAGCATCACAGCAATACACAATCCCTCAGTACAACAAACTGGTAGACAAGTGGTCACAAGTAGAATATACGACCCCACAACTCTTTGAGGCTCATAGTATTGATAAAGTTATGTTAGGTCCCATCATGGAGTTGATTACATTGTACTAGAGCACATCATGGAGGATTACTGCCAAACAATGGAAAACCTTGGTCTAGCTAAGAGAACACAAAACCTATCATACCATGGAAGAGACTTTATTTCATATACTTAAATGGGGGAAATTTCCTTTCCTTGTTGAATATATTTACTTTGGGGACTGGGAAACAATTCTACAAGACTCTTAGAAGAAACATTTTTTAATGTCATCTATATTTTTAGGTTAAATAAATGAGAGAATTTTGATTATATTCAATGTAATTTGTTGACATTATTACATTATTAGCCTAAAGAAAACCTTATCATACTTTTAAAGTCTTCACTGTAGCACTTTTGAAATGAGTGAATTTATCACCCTAGTAGGGTTTCTCAAAATTTCCTACATGGTGTCTGCTACTATAACAGAGATACCACCAGTAGATGGTTTTAAAAAATAGAAATACTTTCTTATACAGTTTGGAAGGCTATCATTTCAAATTCAGAGTGCTGACTCTTGAAGAAAGCCTTTTCTCTCCATTGGTTCACAGTTTAGGAGAAAGACCTGTGTCCTTTCAGCATCTGTGGGCCTAGAGTTCCTTAGTGATCTTCTTGTGTCTCAGTATCAATCATCTTCTGAGTCTTGGAGCTTTCCTGTACAGGACCATGGGCCAAAAGATGTGTTCCATAACCAGCTCTTCTTTCTTGGTAGTAGTTGGCTCCTCTCACTCATCTATCTTTTTTAATATAAAAGCTGCTGCCAGCAACAGCCTAGGGAAACTTCCATAACTAGAGTAAGAACATTGCAGCTCACCTTAATGCCCTTACAACTGGCTGATCACATCATGAAAGATCATTACATCCTTATATAGCTGCCATGTCACATTATTGCATAACTACCAAACTACTGAGAATCATGGCCAAGTTGACACATTTTTTAGGTGGATACAATTCAATCCATGACACATGGTCTGCCTTAACCCAGCTTCTTCACTGTAGAAATTGTTTTACTAACACCCAGCCTCCATGCTGATTCTCATTCAAATTTCATATTATTCCAAATATCAATACTGCCTTAGACTTGTTAGATCAGGTAAGGGAAAAATAATTTTTCATTTGAGCTATACAAGTTGGCAATCCTAGTGGTGTCACATCGAATAAAATGCAAGTTTTAAAATTCCATTATGTAAATGAAAATACCTACCTCTCTTGTAGAATAAGTTTGTTTTCTTTCTTCCAAAAGTCTTTAAAGTCAGAGGAGAATTCATGCCAGATACTGAAGAAAACATTTGGGGACACCTCCTTCTCTCCAATTTTTGGTTTCATGAAGAAATAAGCTGTAGTCTCCAAAAAGCTGTCAAAGCACACACACGAGAACATTAAAAATTATGATTTATTTCCAATATGTGATAGCCTCTCTCTATCAAAATGCTGCTTTCATTCATGCTTATCACTAAACCAGCTACCATCAAGTTGATTTTTTTCTCATTGTAACTCCATATGTGTGAGAGCAGAATTGTGTATTCACTAGCTTATTTTTCAGAAGTATGTCATCAAACTTGTTTTCCAAGGTACCTCTGGAATGAACCTTCAACCTTTTGCTTAGCAGGTAAGTGAGTGCTCTGTTTGTACCACCCAGGGGATGATAACTCTCCTAGTTCAATTCCATTTTAAAAACTAATAATTCATTTTCTAACATGTTTTAGAAATGAACCTATAGACAAATTTGGAAATAGTGAAAATTATGAGTCTATACTTCCTTTCTAAACTTTAAACAAGTGAAATATCAGTCACTTCTACAAAAATTGATATGCGCTCCATATTCACATATTATACTGCTTATGTGCAATTTGACTTCCATTGTTTCTGGGTGGGGGGGGAAAGCAAGAGACTTAGGAGATGTGGACACAGTCTCCCACTAGGAATTATGGTCATATCATGGAGTGGAAACCAGGATGGCAGCCAGCATAGGGAGTGTAGACTGTTCAGTGCCAGTCTGGTAGCAGAAGGTGCCACTGCAGAGACTCCTTCAGAGTACAGTCACATATTACTCAAGAAGCTCAAGGGTGATTTGACAAAGAACACACAACTAATAAATGGTAACTTTACAGCTTAACATGTCCTCTGATGCCATGGACAATATTCTAAAAAGGACCACACCTAACCAAAACTGATAATGAAGGAACCTGCACAGCTGGGAATGCTACACAAAGGGTTAGCATTCAAATAGCCTTTGTCTTCCACCCCACGTGGACTAGAGTCAACTCTATTTCTGCTACATTGAGTCTGATTAACATTCCAGTAAAACTTTCCAAGGCAACTAGATTATTTCATGTTGTGCTCTTTGATTAAAAGTATGTCCAGACATAGATGTGTGTGTGTATATTCACTTGGTCATATTGCTGATTTTAAATCCTTAATATATAAAATAAACCCTGTTTTAATTGAACACTATAAAAATTAAATTTGTAAGATTAACTTACTTACCATGTAAAGGGGACTCTGTATTTCACAGAAGAAAAAAAAAATCACACCTACCCTAACCATGGGAAACCAATGTGTAACCAGATTTCTCTGTTTCTAAACTTGGCTATAGAGGCTTCTGGACAGCAAGATTCCCAAGAACATTAGTTTGTAGGTTGTAGGGGTAAATAAAAACACTGATATGATCAAATGCATGAACCTCAGGAAACAGATCACTTTTGCCTAGCTATCCTTCTAAGAAAAAGTATGTAGTACAGCCAATTAATTCTGAGAAAGAGCCAGGCTATGAGATGGACATAGTATGTGAGAATTCGTTCACCTGGGATATGGTAATGATATTAAAATGTATCTGTAGAATGTGTTGATGGTGTGAAGACTATCAGGAGAGTAGATGTCAGGAAGCATAAATATATATATAATATATATCTGGGTCATATTTCATAAAAACTGATAAAGCATATACATATTTCCCTCCTGGGATAACTGGCCATTCTCTTTATATCCCCAAGGGCTATTTATGACATGCTAAGTTAAAATTTGTTCTCAAATCCTCTGATTACTCACACTGTATTCATGCTTTATGGAATTTATTATTACAGACCAAGCCATTGAGTAGACATTATAAATTATAATAGCAGGTGCATCTTTTCAGTCATTTAGAAAACAATTAAATATTCCATTATGAGTACCATATTGTGCTATATTTACAGGAAATGATCTAGAATTTAGAATGAGAATGTATGTGAAGAAACTGGATCCTAACTCTACCAGTTTTATGGGCAAACATCTGAACACCACTGTGTCTTAGTTTTCATCTATATGATAGATTGTTTTAAACAACTATTTTGAAGTCTAGTGAAAAAAAATGTACATACTTTTTCAAATCATTTGTTATATTTTTTAACATAAGAAAATCTATATTTTGTTATTTTATTGCATATATTTACATTAAAGAAATAGATATAGAGGAGAGGGAAGATAGCATACAGGCAGATTTACCCACCCAGAGCTCCTGATGCTAGAACAGAAAATTAAGAGGTAAGGAAAGGAGACTGGGAGGCGCACTCCCAAAATTAGGGTCAGGGTACTAGGGTCTGGCCCAGACCCCTGCTCTTTTTGATGTTCACTCACAAAGTGACCCGAGAATGCACTGAAACATTCTTGGTTCATTGTGCTGGGTTAGCGGGTTCTGCTGAACCCGAGCCCCTCCCGGTGTCCTAGTCCCACAGTGAGCAGTGATTCATTCAGGCTGCTGTTTAAAAGGGTCATAATCCCAGACTCCAAGGGATTCTGAAAGCTAGTCAGAAGCCCCCACACCAGAGTTCCTCATGCTGTTTGCTACATTGCGCTCGCAGTCAAGGGTTTGGCACAGGTAGCCACAGATTTGGAGAAACTGAAAAGACACCAGGAATTTACCTGTGTCAGATCGCAGTTTGGCAGAGCACAAATGGGAAGCCCAGGGGGGTGAATTCAGTTCTAGTTGGCCAAGAAGAAAGCAACCTCTCTGAAAAGCTAGATCTCCTCCGCTGGAGTCAGCGTGACAGCCCCCAAATCAGGGCACCCCACAAGCCAAATATAAAAAGGAGAAAAAATATCTTCTTGGTAAAAACTTCAAATCCCAGCCACATTATTTAACTCCAAGACAAACCTGCAGAACATGTCCTTTAGCACACATGAACATAACAAGATAGCCAGAACTAAGTAATGCCAGCAATTAGCTACAGAACATAGCCTAGAAGCTTTCAACATAATAAAGAGCCTAAGGGAGCAAACATCAGTCTCAGAACAGTTTCACAGAGCATAAATGGACAGCCCATAGCGAGGGGGCTCATTTAATTCAATTCCAGTTGACCAGGTCTAAACAAAACAAAACAAAAACTTCTCTGAGCTACTGGGGCAGCAGCAGTCTCAGCACAAACTAGAGCAACTCTACAAGCCCAATGGGGGAGCTACTTTTTGTCCTTGGTGGACCTACATGTAGCTAGGGAAATGCTGACTGTCCCTTACAGTCCTTTTCTGGCTGGGGGATGCCTTGCCTGTTCTAGGGCCCTACACATGGCTGAGAGAAATTCCTCCCACAAGCTGCAGTGTTGCATAGGGCGCAAGGCAGCTATACCAGTTATTTCCAGCACTTCACACGCCTGCAGGAATCTCTACGTAACCTCCACTGCAATCTTGCCAAAGAGGGTAATTCTGCCAGCATCTGTGGGACCCTACACTAAAGTGGGCACCCCACCCCACTATGTTGAGGCAGGGTTGGAACCCCTCTAGCCTCTTGGTCAGGTGATCAGGGCTCAGCTATCTCCTCACTTTTTATTCTTTCTCTTCTCTCTCCCTTCTCTCTTTCCCACCACCGTCAGTCTCAGCAGGCTCAGTTTTTTTTCCTTTCCTTTTTCTTCTTCTCTCCCTCTCTTTCCTTTTACACACCACTGCTGGCTTCCAGGCCACTATCCTCCACCTAGGGCAACTCCACCCAAACAGCCAGAGGAGGGCGGGGAGGGTAAGCTTCAGCTCCAGCCTGCCCTCTATGGGAGTACTGCACATCACACAAGGCAGAAACAACTGCCCTCTCCAATGCTCCATGCTGCTGAGGAAACCTCCAGCTAGCCTCCACAGTGATCTTGCTGACTAGGGAAATTTTGCTCAGCACCCATGGGACCCTATACCAAAAGGGAACACCCACCCAACACCTTGGGGCAAGGTTAAACCCCACCAGCCTCACATTCAGGTGATCAAGGCTCAGCTAACTCTTGATTCTATATTTTTTTCTTTTATCTTTCTTTTCTCTTTTCCATCACAGTTAGTATTGGCAGGCTCAGTGGTGTTTTGTCTCCTTCTTTCACTTTCTTCCTTCTTTCTCCCCCTCCTTCTCTCCCTCTTTCCTTTCACATGCCACTGCAGGATTCCAGCCCCCATAACCTCTGCCTAGGGCAACTCTGCCCACTCAGCTGGGAGATCTCCACCCTGCCCTCTGTGGCAATGTTGCACACAGCATGAGGCAGTGCTGTACATGGCATGATACAGGGCCTAGCTATCTCTTTATTTATATTTTTCTTATTTCTTTTCTTCTTTCCCTTTTTCTTCATTTTTCTTCTTCTTTAATCTCTTCTCTTTTTCCTGCCAGAGTCCCAGCAGGCTCAGTTTTTTATTTTTAATTGTTTTTGCTTTTTTGTCTGTGTTAGTTTGTTTTTATTTTTCTTCTTGTCTTTCTTTTCTCCTTCCTCTCATTTTTTCTTCTCTTCCCCTCTCTTTCCTTTCACATACCACTACCAGCTTTCAGGTCACTCCCCTTCACCTAGGGCAATTCCGAGTACCCAGTTGGGGGAGCTCCCACCCACATTCATTGGCTTTATACTCAGCTGGGGAAATCATGTTCATGCTCTGCTGAACCCCAAATGACTGGGGGACCTCCCATTCAAATGGCTGGGTGAACTCCTGCCTGCACCCCAAGGCCGTACAATGAAATAGGGGAACTCCTGTCCTCTGTTTGTTGTGTTCCACGCTGCTGCAGGAACATCTGCCCAATTTCCATGGCAATCTCTCTGAGAAGGGTAATTCTGCTTGCCATCCATGGTGCTCCACACCAAGGAGGGGACACTGACCCACCATTTGCAGTCCTCCTGTTGCAATGGGAACCACCACATGCCATTTGAGGCTTCCCAAGCCTTGAGGAACACACTACCTGGATAGCTTTGTGGGAAATCAGCTGGTGAAGCACCATCTTTGTGGGCCCACAACCAACTGGCCAGAGTCTTGTGAGAGTACTATCCAACTCACATTCCACATCACAGAATAGTGGTTGGCTAGGGTATGAGGGCAAACCTAGGAAGATAAAGCTGAAACCTGACCCCCCAGTGCACCTAGCTACAG